ATAAAATATATAGTTAAAATTAATTGTTGATGTTGACTTTGAAAAAAATTAAAATAAAACTCTAACTTTTACTTTTTTATCAAACAGGGGCTAAATCTTTCTTTATAGTTTTTAATTTCCCATTTTTTTTATGTGATTCTACAAACTATATATATACTCTAAATGAAGAAAAAGGTAAAAATCTAAAATGGACAATAATTAACATGAACCCCTCTCTTATTTATATTTTATCAATGGTAACTATAGTTTTCTTGAAAATTTTGTAGTTGGTGGAAGAATGTAGGCTCAGCAAATAAGTTGCACTTTGCAAGAGACAGGCTGATGGAGAGCTTCTTTTGGTCAGTTGGAATGGTATTTGAACCACAATTTAGTGAATGCCGAAAAGGTTTAACCAAAGTGGTTAAGCTAGTCACTATTATAGATGATGTTTATGATGTTTATGGCTCTCTTGAAGAACTTGAACAATTTACGGATGCTGTTGAGAGGTTTGTACTTATAGAAAACAATAAATTTATTGCATTTTCGTACTTCAAAACACAAATTCAATTAATTATTTTGACTTGAATTTTGGTGCTCTTATTGCAGATGGGATATCAATGCTTTGCAGCATTTGCCTGGCTGCATGAAGATATGTTTTTTAGCTCTTTACAACACTGTTAATAACATGGCATATGACGTTCTTAAGGAACAAGGTCAGGTCGTCCTTCCTCAGCTCACAAAAGTGGTAAGTGCATCAATCAAAAGTTCATTTTATTATCCCTAAATAATCATTTTATAATAGATAGATCACTTAAGTTAAATACCTGAAATCAAATAGATTTCCCGGATTAGCAAAAATCAAATCTATACATCTCAATCTAGTAATTTTCTTTATACTTTCTTGGGATACTTATTAGATTATATTTAAACCCACTTGCCCTACTTCTGTAGGCCCATCCTCTCCATAGACTGTCTCGACTAACATACCATCTGCGATTGGCCTCACCCCCTTATCACTTAAACTATATTTTCCTTTATTACCTTATTTCTTTAAAATTTACTTTTTCATAATTTTGATTAGATGCTATAAAAAGTTTTTGTTAAAAGAAATTAATTCTAAATATTGCTATAATATTTTAAATATAATAAGATATGATTTTTTTTCCTTAGGAACATTATATATTTTGCAAATCCACCTGACAAATAATTAATAGATCAACAGATATGAATATATTTTCAATATAATTTAGTAAAATATGATTTGTTTTCTTAAGAAAGTTATATATTTTGCAAATCCACCTGACATATAATTAATAAATCAACATATATAGATACGTTTTCAAATCATTTAATTAAGTTTAATTTAGTTCAGTTTCCCTAATTTTTTAATTTTTTTTATAATCTTAACATTTATACTATATTAACTTTAAAGATTAAAATAATATTATCATAATACTGAAATCACAATAAATTTGACATAAAATGTTTAAAGCTTAGATTTCCCTTTTTTCCCTTTAGTATTTAAATCAATTTTAATTTGTTCATTTTTTTAAATGAAAATTCAATTTTTCCAAAATATGATTAAGATAAGATCATTTTGTACAAGAAGATGATAAAAAAAATATAATAATAAAAAAATAAAAAAAATCCTTCTTTTAAACTAAAACAATCTAACTGTGTCTAAATTAAATTATAAAAACGCAAAGAAAAAAACAAATATAATTTAAAATTTAGCATAATAGATAAGAATAAAATGAAAACTTTATGCTTATACAGGAGGAACCTGTAAATTTTAAAATATGAGGGGTATCTGTGGATTTCTAAACCTCGTGAAAATTTATTCTTATCCAATTTTTATTTTCTTTTGTTCTAATAGTTGCCCAATATTTTACATTATTATACAAGCGCCAACAAAATTGTATTTCCGCTCCCTCTTTTTTCTTAGATTTTGATAGCTGAATTTATCTCTGCAAATCATGTTTTTCAGTGGGCAGATTTGTGCAGACTGTTCTTAAAGGAAGCGCAATGGAGTTGCAATAAACATATACCTACTTTTGATGAGTATCTTAGTATGGGATGGTTATCATCATCTGGACCACTTCTACTTGTTCATGCCTACTTTCTAATGAATAAAAATATTACAAATGAAGAGATAGAATTCTTCAACGATTACCCTGCTCTCTTACGCTACACATCCACAATTTTTTGCCTTTGCAATGATTTAAGTTCCTCAAAGGTATGTTTCCTTTTAGATCACTTTCTTAGGGGATAACAGTACTTTATCAAGAGATTAGTGCTGATATAAATTTTTTACTGTACCAGGCCGAGATTGAGAGAGGTGAAACTGCCAATGCAATTTCATGTTACATGCATGAAAAAAGTGTTTCTGAGGAAGTTGCCCGTGAATACATCAAAAGTTTGATAGATGAGAATTGGAGGATGATAAATAAAGAATTGGTTTCAAGTTCCATTTTCAGCAAGTCCTTTATTGAAATAGCCATAAACCTTGCTCGAATAGCGCAATGTCACTACCAGTATGGCAACGCTCACAGTGATCCAAATGACATAACGAGAAACCGAGTTTTGTCAGTTATTATTGAGCCCATTCAATTGACACAGCCATATAGGAACTTAAAACTGTCCGTAAATTAAGAGAAAAGATTGTTAACTTAAAGAAGTGTAACTAGTTTATATATTATAAGGTTCATAAGGATGATTATTGAACAGAGGTGGTAGATAAAGTGATAAGGACGTAGCTGGTTCAACCCTCACCGAGAGGATGCTGCTTGCTGAGTTATACTCAAGTCGAGGGTGGGTATTAATCAATTTGCTTCAAAACTACTTCATGTTACAAAATCTGTATCTAACATTTTGTAAGTAAAAGTGTTCTCTTGTTGGGAATATATACAAATACTATAATGAATATTGATTATAATGATCTCCTTATGCATTACTATTACTGGTCGTAGTGTAAAATATTTTCTCGCACTTTTATAATAACATTTAATACGAAGAGTAAGAATGCAGAAAAAGATTGAAGTTGACTTCAACGCCCCTTTTTTGAAAACAAAACTGAGTTACACTGCTAGAAAAAAAACTGATCGAAGCCCTGACCGACCCTCACAATAGGGGGTGGGACCACTTTTTTCTTGCAATTGTTTATTCATGTGGGGCTCAG